AATAAATAAATACCACAACGTGATATTCTGTTTAATAACTGGAGGTAAGATTCGAACTCGGTACGTTGTTGATACGAAGCCATAACTCTACCAATTACGCCAACACAGGCCGCATGGATTATGCTTTTTTTCGGCCTCATAACTTGTTAGTTTGTTATATCTAAATATTAACTTTGTGTTATTCAACAATAAATAAATACCACAACGTGATATTCTGTTTAATAGCAGGAGATAAGATTCGAACTCGGTACCTTGTTGATACGAAGCCATAACTCTACCAATTACGCCAACACAGGCCGCATGGATTATGCTTTTTTTCGGCCTCATAACTTGTTAGTTTGTTATATCTAAATATTAACTATGTTATTCAACAATAAATGAATACCACATTGTTAATCGTACACTGCTGAATTCCGTTTTTTTACCTGGAGATACGATTCGAACTCGCTACCCCTGTTGGTACGAAGCCATTACTCTACCAATACTTACGCCAAACAGGCCATACCAATTCAACTTTTTTTGGCATATCTGTTGGAAATCTTTTTGGAAAAAAATTTTTGGTCAAAAAAATTTTGGAAAAAAAAATTTCGGGAAAAAAAATTTTGGAAAAAAAATTTCGGGAAAAAAATATTTTGGTCAAAAAAATTTTGGGAAAAAAAATTTGGGAAAAGAATGTTTGGTCAAAAAAAAATGGAAAAAAAAATTTTGGTAAAAAAAAAATGGGAAAAAAATTTTTTGGGAAAGAATTTTGGGAAAAAAATTTTTGGTCAAAAAAATTTTGGAGAAAAAAAAATTGGGCAAAAAAATTTTGGTCGATTTTCCGAAGTCCGGATAAACCGAAGTCCTGATAATGCGAAAAAAAGTTGGGAAAAAAAATTGGGACAAAAATTTTTGGTCAAAAAAATTTTGGAGAAAAAAAATTTTGCGGAAAAAAAAGTTTTTAGGAAAAAAAAATTTTTGGAAAAAAAATTTTTTGAAAAAAATGTTTGGAAAAAAAATTTTGAGAAAAAATTTTTGGAAAAAAAAATTAAAAAAAAAATGTATGCATTTGTGTGGCGCCATCTAGTTATGTTTAATAATAACTAGCAGAATTCACCGATTGGTGAAAAAAATTTTGTTCAAAAAAATTTGGACAAAAAATTTGGTCAAAAAAAATCGGACAAAAAATTTTGAACAAAACAATTTGGACAAAAAATATTTTGGAACCGTTAACCTCTAGCATAAAATTTTCAGTAGAATTATTTTGCGTTTTTCGTTGCCTTTTTTGGAAAAAAAATTTGGGGTAAAAAATTTTGTGGAAAAAACTTTGAGGGAAAAAACAGGGAAAATTATTTGTTTTGAAAAAAAATTTAGGGTAGAAAATTTTGTGGAAAAAACTTTGGGGGAAAAACAGGGAAAATTATTTTTTTTTTGAAAAAAATTTTATGGTAGAAAATTTTAGGAAAAAAATTTGGGAAAAACTTCTTGGGTAGAAAATTTTGTGAAAAAAAAATTGGGAAAAAATTTTTTTTGAAAAAAATTGGGAAAAAAAAAGGCAAGTTTAATACCCGAAATGTATGAAGGACGGTTTGCTTAGGTACATGCATTCTATATTTTAGAGGATGTGCTATTGAAAATGCATACGAATTAGGGATGCGACATCTGTCGCATATTTAGTAAACTTTCGGAAATAAGGTGCAGTTCGAACAAGTAAATATATTCGTAAATTAATTAATTTAATAACATGTATTTTCATGTGACACCCACATACAATGTGGATTACATTTTGAAATAAACTTAACTAATTAATTAACACAACACACAAAACTGACAGCCCCTGCAAATATTCAAATCTACAATTTTTTATATAAAAATTTATTTATCGCATATCCAAATACTATACACTATACTTTTCACTGTATATATTCAAATCTTATCTTGGAAAAAAATTTTGGGAAAAAATTTTTTTTGGAAAAAAATTTTAGGGTAGAAAATTTTGTGGAAAAAACTTTGGGGGAAAAAAACAGGGGAAATTATTTTTTTTTTTATTAAAAATTTTATGGTAGAAAATTTTAGAAAAAAAATTTTGAGAAAAGAAATTTTTTTGTAAAAAATTTTGGGGACAAAAATTTTGAAAAAAAAATTGGGGAAAAACTTTTTGGGGTAGAAGAAAATTTTGGGTAAAAAAAATTGGGGAAAAAAATGGAAAAATTTTTTTGGGGAAGCAAAGCTTCGTTTGGCAAGGCATCAAAGTCTGTAAATAAAGAAACAACAATATAAGTCAAATGAATTACATAAATAAATAAATATAAACGCCTGATTTTTATCAACGTACATTCTATTATAAAATGATTGAAGTAAACTCCAAATTCTTTAAAGCGGCAAAGTCTGGAAGGAACTCATTAGGAACAAAGTCTGGAAGAAGTTTTTCGTCTCATTTAAAAGCATCAAAAGCATTTGAAGCAGCAAGGTCTGGAAAGTGTTCATCATCTTATGGAAAAGCATCATCAGCATTCAAACCCTAGAAAAAAAATCATCATAAGTGTGGGAGTAGTAATGTATATGAAAGTATGAACTCCACTTGTATAAAAATATATAAAATTTATTGACTATAAAAATTAATGCTATGAAAATATGACAAGTCCAATTGTTTTTCTCTGTCATGAGTAGCCTGCTTGATCCCCACATAAGCTAACATACATTACATTGGATTTACAGTAGGGCCCTACTAGATTTACAGTAGGGGCAATCGGGGCTACTGCCCAGGGCAGCAAAATTTGGATAGTGAGAAAAAAATTCTATACAATATAATCAACTTTTTTAACAATATTTTTTATTTCAAGAAATATAATTAACAAAACATAATACGATTGCAATGCAAAATTTGGGTTGAAATAAACGATAACTAAAATTTATTATTTTGCCTTGCCTCCCTCTCCGAACGTAAATTATGAAATTGGTTTATAAGTTATCAAATTTGGCAATTTGGCTAATATATATAAGCTAAGTAAACAAGCTGAAAGTTTAAAAACAAATGTTCTTCAGTTCTCGAGCCCTCTTAACACGACAAATTTGTGCACTTCCAAGCTTATAGCGTCAAAAAAAAAAATTTAAACTAGTGACTCATGGCATTGTGCCTTAAGACAAATTACTGAAACATCCCGTACTAAAAATTACATTTTATAAAGAGCTTTAAATTTTATTGAAAAATGAAAAAAAAAGACTTCTAAAACACATTTTTTGTATTTTGAAATTTTTCGAAAATTATGAACTTTTTCCCAAGAAATCGCGCTGCGTAGCTGTTTCAGAGAAGAAATATCGAAACTCAGTTACCATTTTTCGTAATTGCCTGTACCAAAAGCTAATCAGCACGTCTCCCCATCAATACAAATCTAATATTTTTTAATTATTCAAGTCGATTTCGAGAACACGTATCAACCGATTTATGATTCAATTCCTATTGATAAGGAGACGTGCTGATTAGTTATTGGTCAAGGCAGGTCTAATTGTTTTGAAGATATGGGCCCAAATGGCAAAAATGATAATTCAGTTTTTGAGAAAAAAGCGTCCAATAACAGTCAAAAAAATTTACAGAATAAATAACTGCTTAAATTTGTGGGGGGCAGGTTTAGCGGTTTCGATGATCCAATAAAGAAAGAAACATTTGGCGGACAAAAGTGATCATAAGGCATATGCACATTAAATTATCAGATGTTTTAAAGATATTATAATAATAAGTATAAATTTTGTTTATATTTATATAAGTTCTGTAACATTGTTTATCCGTTAGACTGCGACGCGGCGCTTACGCGCTTCTATATTTTGTCCCTCGCAGCTGAAGCAGCGCAATTGCTTTAAAAGAATGTTCGGAAGTTTGTAAATTTTCAGAAATGGGGCGGCATTTTTGTCAGTGCCCCGGGGCGCCAAATTTCTACATCCGGCCCTGATTACATGAATAAATATATTTATGACAAAGTTTAATTAACATACATTTTAAGTATATCAATCCAAGCAGACTCAAATTCTTCAAGGCAGCAGCAAAGTGACTTCAAAGTTCAGTAAACACCAGCCTATCATCATACAGCATAGTATTTCCAAATCTTCAACTTCTTTTTTCATTTTCTTCAGCTATAATCATTTCATCTTGAGCAGGCTCGGTTCATCGTGAAGCTCGGTTTCAATACAAGTCAATTTATCTAAAATTGATACACAGCAAACAAACAACAATACATTAATGTACCTTGTATATCGTAATATCTATGCCTTTTAACTAACGTGTCAAAAACATGCACATTTTTTCTTTTAATATTACATGTCAAAAAGTCATGGATTTTTTACTAAAATCAAATGCAACAGAAGATTTTTCAAAAAAAAATTTTAGGTGAAAATGGGTAAAAAATATTTTGAGAAAATAGGTTTTTTTCGCGTTTGATTCAAGTGAAAAAGCATGGATATATATCCATGACTTTTTAACATAAAATATTGATAGGAAAAATGTGTATGTTTTTCACATGTTTGATTTAAGTGAAAAGGCATGGATCCATGATATACAAATTAAAGCATTTTCAAACAATTAACACTTTCGGGCCATATAAAATACTTTTGATAATCTATACTATACCATTTTTAGAAATTTTTTTTTCAAAAACAGTTCACAGATTTTAAAATTGATATTAAATTTTACAAATCAATGAACACTATGAAAAATCCATGGATCCAATATAAGCAATATAAAAATTATGAAATTAATATAATTTAAAATATCTAATAATATCTAAATTTCTAATTTGAAATTATAAAATTAGAAATTTATAATAAAATAAAATAATGTAGATATAAAATGAAAATATAATTTAAAAATATTAAAAATAAATAATTAAAAAAAATAAATAAATAAATAAACAAAAATTATGGAAATAGTGATAACACTAAAACAAATAAAAAAAATATTTCAAATGACTTCAAATATGAAAACTAAATTTTTGAGCCAGTTATATTTAGATAGTTAACAAAAACTAGTAACATACTATACAAATAACAGAGCTAATCAATTTTCGATCGTATTAAATGAATTATCTGTCATCAAACTCGAGCAAACACTTTTTTAATTTGGATAATCTTGCACATGCTCATAATTATGATAGAATTGAATAAAAATAAGTACTCATCTGAACTTACTCTATCCATTCCAAGTCCTGGCTGTATGGACCAATGAAAGAGCGAGTTGTACATTGTACCCGGTTGTTCAAGTCCCAGCTGTCAATAACCTACATGATAAATATAATTATTAGGTAGGCTAGGCACATGTACTACTATGCTAGTTCTATTAGTAAGAAGAAAAGTTCAAAACTTGTTTCCTGACCAAGTCCTACATTTTACTTCGCTACTTGCAATTAATAAAATCAATACATTGTGTCTTTTGCTAAACAATCAAGGGTGCTTGAATTTAATTGTAAGTCCTGATGAATGGTTGTAATAAAAAATTTAAATTAGTTAATGCATAGCTATATAAAAACATTAGTCGAAACTGAACACAGCGTGAATGTGTTGAATATTTTAATGTGCTTTGCAGATGTCTTATAAATATGATGTGGTGTAATTGTGTTGTCAAAATGATGTTCTATAATTTGCAAGTATTCAGTTTTGTTTTATTCTATCGCATTGCAATTTTTTACCACTAGCGAGCTGTATGTAGATCCTAGGGAATTAAACAATTGTAAATGAGATACAAAGTTATTTGAAGAAAGAATTTAATTATATGATTATTCTTATAAAAGGGGTATATGCAACTCTATTAACAAAAATTGGATTAATAAGTTTCTTGCCAGACAAGAAGATTGAAACTATATTTCAAAAGAGTTAATATTCCAACATTTTATCTTTTACACATTATGTTGTAAAAATTATACAGCAACTTTTCTTAGCATTTCCTTTATGCACAATATGAGTTTCAAACAGTACAAAAATATTACAAATGCTTCTGCTTATTTGCTATTATAGATAATAAATGAATTATCAGAACAATATTGTAACAATATTCTTGCTTTTCTATATTAGTAAACAAGAGAGTACTGCTTGCAATTCAGATATATACTACAAATCAATATTGAAACTAAAAAATTTCAAATGATAAATGTATCGGCTAAACTGTGTGTATAAATATCTCAAACTGCGTGTATAAATAATCTAAATTTTATGAACATATTGTGAACTATAAATCTGATAATATATTTTTTTGCACAATTGGCTTGGCCGATTGTCATGCAAAACTAATTAACATACCTTAAGGCAAATTCCCTGAACTGAATTAGACAACTACTGTTTGATGGATGCGTTCAATAGGATCACCGACTCACAAACTTCATCCCATAAATAGTATATTGAATAGTATACTGAACCTGTAAAATACAGAGATTTGTATTGAATTCAGATGAACAAAATTGTAGATATATAATTATAAACATAGCTATACTCATTAAAGCACTTTTCCTGCACTATTTTGAATCCATAAAAAATAGTCTTTTAATTGCTCCTCTATATTCATTCAAAATGAATAAGCTATTTAGTTCCTTGATAAAATACATTTGCTTTAAAATTATGATTGTGTGGTCAATGTACTACAATCTACACCTTACTACAATCCAAGGTTCTTCTGATATATAAATCAAAGTGAATTAGCACTAGCATTAGAACTGATTTGTCAGTAAAAGATTAACAAAAATGAACAAATAAATTCTCGGTACAGGGTAAAGTTGCTTATTGTTAGGTCAACCGTCTTAACAAAATTATGCTAACATTATTTTGTGCAATTTTCTTTGGAAAAATCTTTGGCGGCCATTGAATTTTTATCACAGAAATATAAATTAATTTTCTTAATACTTAATGATACTTATAGAAATTGTACTTTCAGTATGGTTGAGGCCACCTATAGCCTTAGACTCATTACTATAATATTACATAGCATTCAATCTAATTAAATTCTTTATTAATTACCAAGTGGAACATAAGTTTTTTTAATAAAACCCAACATAAAAAAATTCTGAATGAATAAATGTAATTCACACAGAATGAAAATTGTTTATGCGATAACAGCAGTTATTAGTTACACTTGCTTGTTGAAACTTTGGAAAATTGTATCTCATTATTGCTTCGCATTTAACAAAAAAGGCCCACTCTCGATAGGCCTGGACCCTGGACGTGGCCGAAACTGTCTGATAAGATAGGGTCTGAAGCCTAGACAATATAAAAATACCTAGACAATATAATAATGGTCTGAAGGATAGATACGCGTCACAGAACACTGCCCTTAAGAATAACGTGTATATATACATTACACGATCAGGGTAAAGAATAATTAAGTGATACACATACCGAAAAATAAAAATTGACTTTATTATGATCACGAAAAAAAAGTTAAAAGTATTTACAATTTGGTTATCCTCATATTAACCTCCTCCTCATGACCAACATTGTCATTTACAACACTTGGATTAATACCATACCTCACGACAAATCTACTTTATGACTCCTCCTCACGACTATCTTTATGTTTTGATATAACCTATGATCTATGATAACACCAGATAACACCGTGATTTCGAAACGTCATTTTGCCATAAATAATCCGTATTAGATGAAGTTGGGCATTTAAATACTGTAATGTAGTGGTATACCTGAACTGACATAGCGTAGCGATCTTAGTAATCGGAGGCACCAACATTTAAATCACATACTTGGCTTGACTTATCTAATTCTACTATGTTAATGGAAAGTATTTGTTGTTTATGTCCAGAAATTTATACATAGCATTGGGAAAGAGTTATTAAGAATTTTAAAGCGGTTTGAAAAACTTGTTTGCGTACATTAAACGCATTAGTTTATATTTTAAGGTGGCTTAAAGTTCATTTTAGCGAAGTGGGTAGTGACTCGAATTGTCAGACATGGCCGCTAGTGATTCTACCGACGATTCCTTGTATCCTATTGCTATTTTAATTGATGAACTAAAGAATGAAGATGTGCAGGTTTGTGAATATCAAAGTCAGGAAAGGTATTTATTTATTAATTATCTTATTACACTTATTTTTTCAGTTGCGCTTAAATTCAATCAAGAAATTATCTACAATTGCTTTAGCATTGGGGGTTGAGAGAACCCGTTCTGAATTGATACCCTTTTTAACAGAAACAATTTATGATGAAGACGAGGTTCTACTTGCGTTAGCTGAACAATTGGGAAATTTTATTTGTTAGTAATATACGTTTTGTCATTCATTTTAAAAATCTTTTTACTAAACTAAACAATTGTAGCACTTGTTGGCGGTCCAGAACATGCTCATTGTTTATTACCTCCTCTCGAATCTTTGGCTACTGTTGAGGAAACTGTTGTTCGTGATAAAGCTGTAGAGTCACTAAGAGCAGTTGCGCAACAGCACAGTCCTCAAGATTTGGAAGCACATTTTGTTCCATTGTTGCAAAGATTAGCATCAGGTTAAAATTTTATTGATAAATGTAATAATAATTTTTAACAAATAAAATTATGTGAATATTTTATTATTGTAGGGGATTGGTTTACATCTAGAACATCTGCTTGTGGTTTATTTTCCGTCTGCTACCCACGAGTATCTTCTACAGTTAAAAATGATCTGAGAAGCAACTTTAGATCATTATGCCAAGATGACACACCAATGGTAATTTTTATCATCAAAATTTAACTATCATTATGGTTATTACTTATATTATTATAGGTCAGACGTGCTGCAGCTAGTAAGCTTGGTGAATTGGCTAAAGTTGTGGAGCTGGAATATTTAAAATCTGACCTGATTCCAATGTTTGTCACCTTGGCTCAAGATGAACAGGCAAGTTCGGTTCGTGACCAACATCTTTATTTATATGCAGTCCCTCATTGATATGATTAACCTGTTTATTCATTTTTAATCCATTTTTATACACATTTTTGCACATTTATAAAATAACTAATATTCATCTTAAAACGCCCAATGGTATGTTCTTACCTGCTAAAATAATTACAACTTAATATAATATATTAAGTTATAAGTCATATAATTTGGCAGAGTTATCAGTGCGCTGTACTTGGAACATTTGTGTTTTTTACAGGATTCTGTGCGTCTTCTAGCAGTTGAGGCTTGTGTGAGTATTGCTACATTATTACAACAAGAGGATGTTGAACAATTAGTAATGCCGACTTTGAGACAATGTGCCAATGATTCCTCTTGGAGAGTGCGTTATATGGTTTGTAATTAATAAATTACTAAATTAATAGCAAAAAGAAAAAAATAACAAAATGAAATAAATCTAGGTTGCTGATAAGTTTACTGAACTTCAAAAAGCTGTTGGCCATGAGATTACAAAAACAGATTTGGTTTCTGCATTCCAAAGTTTATTGAAAGATACAGAAGCTGAAGTACGCGCTGCTGCAGCTTCAAAAGTTAAAGACTTTTGTGTCAATTTGGAGAAAAGTCAACAAGAAAGCATAATTATGACTAGTGTTTTACCATATGTAAAAGTAAGTTTTGTTCAAATTATTTACCTAATGCATTATTTTTATGATATATTAATGAATTTTTAAGGAATTAGTTGTTGATCCCAATCAACATGTAAAATCTGCCTTGGCATCAGTGATAATGGGTTTGAGTCCAATTCTCGGCCGTCATAATACTATTGAGCATTTACTACCACTATTCCTAAACCAGCTGAAAGATGAATGCCCGGAAGTTCGTTTAAATATCATATCAAACTTGGATTGTGTCAATGAAGTGATAGGCATCCAGCAATTGTCACAGTCTTTACTTCCAGCCATTGTTGAATTAGCGGAAGACTCAAAGTGGAGAGTAAGGCTAGCCATCATAGAATACATGCCTCTTCTGGCAGGGCAATTGGGCCAAGAGTTCTTTGATGAGAAACTAAACACGCTATGTATGAGCTGGCTAGTTGATCATGTGTTTGCAATTAGGGAGGCGGCAACACTGAATCTTAAAAAGCTTGTTGAACAATTTGGCTCCCAATGGGCAGAATCAACAGTAATTCCAAAAGTATTGGCAATGTCACGAGATCAAAATTATTTGCATAGGATGACTTGTTTGTTCTGTATAAATGTAAGTTTGCACATTCATGTCCATTGTAATAAGTCCAACTGCTCAAGTAATTTACAATATTTTATGGAATTTTTTTAAAGGTTTTGGCAGAAGCATGTGGAAACGACATCACTACAAGACTTTTGCTACCCACTGTTTTATCAATGGCTGCAGATAATGTTGCAAATGTTCGTTTTAATGTTGCAAAAACTTTACAACGAATAGGACCCTGGCTTGAGCATTCAGTTATACAACCACAAGTGAAACCAATCTTAGACAAGTTAACAATTGATACCGATAATGATGTGCAATACTTTGCCTCTGAAGCTGCTTCTGGAATTGCAGGTAGAACACCTGAACTGATTGCTGCTAATGTATGAACAATAATAATATTAATCTCTAAATTTATATGCATTATGCTTATAATACAATCACATTAACTGAAGAAATATGAACTTCGATGCTTTTGTTTTACTTATACTATAATAAAAATTAAAAAAAAAATTCATTCAGGATCTGTACAAGCTTTCTGTTTGTTACAGCTTTAGGTTGAAACACGCCAAGTGGAAGTTTATTTTTAATCACAATCCCGAAGATTAGAATGATTCATATATTAAATTATAATAAATTCCTAAAGTATGCAGATTGTAACTTTGACAGAAATATATCATAACTGTGAAGCAAGTGTTTAATTTCTGCTGTACCTAACAAGCGGATTTTGGAAATACGTAAATAATCGACTTGATCCATATGAAAGCAATATATTAATTTAAGAGAGATTTAGGTAGAGCATTGCAATGTAAGAAACTATTGCAAAAATTATTTAATTTGAACATAATTTTCAAACATGTTTGCTATTTCCGACAAATTGATTCCACAAATGTTATTGAAAAATAAAATTGCGCCTAGTTCTCTGTAGTCCATGGTTTTAACTTGATATTTATTAAATTTAGTAAAATGTGTTTAAAATAATTAACATAGGATTATAAATATGTTTAATACATACCCCAAACAGTTCCACATTAGTAGCAATCTACAAAGCTAATGTATTACATTTATTGAATTGAATAAAATACTTGAATACACATCGTTACTCTTTATTATAAAAGTTAAGAAAATTTCAATATACACCGCTCATATCGCTAAAGTGGAGCGAGCCTTTAATTTAGATTTACATTCATACATTCATTAAAATAGAGCATTTTTAATAGTTAAGGCCACGGACATTGTGAATTATAGATATTTGCATATTTACAGGTAAAGTTAATTTACAGATAGTCAACTAATTCTTAACTGCCACTATAATCAGAATTTTAAGTTTAAACTAAGACTCATTAAATATTCTGTATTAAAGCAGAAATTAAGAAGTATTAAATGTAAGTTATGAATTACAAAATATTTAGTTCTTTGCATCTATAGGTATAATACAGGACTCTGTCATAAATTATAGTATATACAAGAAGATATAATATAAATTTATAAAACTAAAACATTAATATTTAATATACCTATTGTTTTAAATTGATACTTTCAAATATTTTGGCAATTTTGAACCCATTATTATTTGTTACTTCAAGCAACTTTGCTTATGCGACAAAATATGTAGATGTATCAAACTTATTTCTAATAAATGTTATAAAAAATGGATTTACTTTGATCCTAAGCTTATTTGTTTTTTTGTTGTGGATTTTTCTTCATCACGAATATCTATAAATGTTGAATATCTAGAAGAGTGAATGATTTGAATTTGAAATGATATGCAATTTTTTATTATTGTAAAATCTAATTTATTGTAGCAAAGGACATGAAATAAAAGAAATATTTGTATATATGCTGTTTCATTTTTTCATTTGTAAAACTAAGTTCAGTAAAGTTTAATAGTTCATTTTTATTTGCAGATATAGCGCCGATTATATTTAAAAAAAAAGCGGTTACCACTAATTCTAAAATTAGTAGAAATAGTATAGTCTAATATATTATATATGCATATGATGCATATGATGCTGAAATAATATATTTTATTTGAGTTTAAAGATCAGGCTCGATAAAAAATTATTTACATATTATTTTTGATTGATATAACGCCGGATCTTTAAACTCAGATATATATATATATATATATATATATATATATATACTGAATGAATGAATGAATAATGATAGCTCATGTTATTAAATGTTAAAACTTAGCCACTTTCGCAAAAATGCATTTGTAACATTTAATATAAAAATCACATTAGCCATGGTTTGCATATCTCCATTCGTACTTAGCAGCGTACAAAAATTAATTAATTAAATTAAATTGATTTCAGAGATTTCATTTTGTTCGAAGAACTGAATTAACTATAACGTTTCTAGTTTCTGAGACAGCATTAGAAGGATCAATATTTAATTTAATAATACTTACTGCTCGTCTTTACTATTTGATATTATGAGAATTTTTATCATTTTCTTAGAAGTTACGTTCAAAACCACATAATTTCTCAGTTTGCGCAGAATCCTAGATAATAATGATGACAAAATTATTTTTGTCATTCGTCCCAGAGGCAATGCTGCTTTTGTCTGGCGTGGTACGAATACGCCGAACACTTTCGGCAGGTTTTGATGCCGCACCTGTAACTGGAACCGGCGGCGGCACTTTTTCCTCGGCAATATTTCAAACCGCAAGGATACCAGCCGACGCAAACCTAAATGCAATAAAGGCGATTAACATGATCAGAGTAGCTACCTCTACTACTGTACTGTAGTTCAATGTCGATCAAAATTAGAAGTGTAAAATGGCTTGGGAGGGGTGGGCCTGCATGAACTAGTTTTAAGTAGCCTTTTACCTTAAGGCAATCAACTTAATCATTTCTAAAATAACATTTACAGCTTTCACTAAAAAGTACTCAGAACGATTTCCAATTGATGCCTTTCAAACATACTTATATTATTTGTAAATGTTGAAATTAAATTAATTTATTCAACACATTTCATTTCATTTATTTCGGGTTCTAAAAATGTATTTTATTATACCTACGAAACATAGGACAAATACAAATGTATTTTATTTTCCATACGAAACATAGGACTACCTACACATGATCGGAATGGATTCTGATTAGAATCACGTAAGCGCGGGACGAAATTTTAAACTTTAATGAATTCAACACCTTATGGTAGGCCAATAATATTTTAGTAAGTTACTTCAGACTACAAAATATATGATTATACAAAACTTCATCAAAATCGTCAATTAATCGCAGGATAGCGTTCCTTCTCACGCTGCCTAATCAAATATACATGTGAAGTAGCTGAATGTACTGTGTGTACAGTCTACAATAAAAAAAAACAAAAAAAAAATCATCAATGTTTTCGTCAGAAACGCCCCGGACGATCTTAACCAAAAACCAAGACATTACACTTTTCTTATAATTACAAGGAAACGGCTTGGCAGATCATCGTTCAAATTGAAATTGAATGTCGCTAACATATCGAAATCGATAATATATTTAGATCGAAAACGGATACATAAACACACATACTATTTTCAAATTTGGTTTTATTCAATTCAGAATGACTTAAAAAGTCGAGAAAACCTAAATTTAGCAAATCGGATTTTTTCACAAAAACTTTAATTTTTGCTCGGGGAAGTTAAAATTAATTGTTTTTTGCCTCAGATTCTACATGCTCTGCAAAAATGAATGTGGGGTCGTTATTTTGGAATATTTTCTATGCTGTTACTTAGATGCACGTTAAATAATTTTCTCAATTATTATAATTTCATCACCTTTCCTTCTACCAAAACAAAACTCTTTGTGGTTTGAAATGGCGTAAAAGTAGCTTTAAAGTGACGTTGCCCCTTAAGCTTGACAGCAAATAGCTCAATAATGATTTCATAAGCCAAATAGTTTTAGATTTAATTATATTGTTATCTATTTACCTCGAATCGGCACCTGCAAGGCGCTCGGGCCGCCTTCGCGTCCGCACACTTCGGCAGGCGGGCAGTCGCCGGTTCGGCGACCGAATTATCGAAGGGCGCTTCCGCATGGAAATAAGCCGAAGGGAACCTCCGAGCACCTGATGGCAACCAGTCGTCACCCGGAAAACCTGAAATAATCGAATATTTATGCTATTTTTTGTTTTATTCATTGTAAATATTAATGTGCCAACTCGAATATTTCAAATCAAGTTCTTCAACAATCAGATTCAAATCACATCTTACTTGATTCGAACAAATTATTGAACACCAGAAGGCCAGTAAATCGCATGTAACTTTTGATTGTGCAAAATTTTTTCATATTTCTTCTCATATAAAGCAAATAACTTTACATCCAGCTCCAGATGAATAAAATAACTAAAGTATCAAACGACACAAGAATCTGATAATTGTTTTATATGCTTAAGTGATCAATAAACGTTTGGTTATTTTTTATTGTGAATTATTTTAAAAATATATTTCAATCGTTTTCCAAATTGAATAATTTTTGTAATCAATTTTTTGATAGTAACATATGCTCAAAATCTTTAATTTATAAGCAACTACCAAACCCGACGAACTCCGTTTCGCCACCAGATGGTTTAGTGAAAAAGATAAAGAAATTTTTTGTTTGTTTTATATTTGAAAAGGAAAAAAAATGATTTTATTGCACAACAGTAATAAATTTATTTCGATTACAAAAATGAAGTGTTTTTTAGTTGAACTTCTCTAAGTAAATGAAAGTGAATCCGCAAATTATCCGTTTCATTGAAGTGCTCTTTGGTAAACCACATTTTTTGTTTTTTGGTCTGACGTTAACAGAAACAAAGAGGATGGTTTTCCAACTTGTGAGTAATGATTTTCTAAATGGCACGGTGCCATGCACCACTAATTTTCAACGAATGCATAATTGTCAAAATCGGTTCGTGCGTTCTGGAGTTAAATCGTCAGGAAGGAAAACCCGACTTATTTTTAAATATATGTAGATTACAAAGTTTCCTGTTATTGAAATTAATTTTATATCATTCCAGTCTTAAAAATTAGAATTCGATTCAAAAGTTCTTGTTCATCGCAATATCATCAAACGTTATTAAATTAAAGTTGAGAAATCAACTTTGCAAAGGAGTCAAGTAAGAAGTTCGATTTTGTTCCAAAGATAATTGAAAACTTTGTTAGTTAACTATAAAATAAAATGATAGTTAGAATGGTTAAAAATATTCTAATGGCATATGCATATGAAACAGAATTTTTAACTCAATATTGAATGTGATTAAATATTCTAGGTGAAAATGATGTTGTGACTTTATATTTATACAATTTCGAAATACACACACACACATACACACACACACACACATATATATATATATATATATATATATTTATTTATATAAATTATAAAGTGAGAACGTTTTTTGGATTTCTTTGGTATGATATAATATTCATGAATGTAGTAGAACGTGATCAAAATCGGAATAATTTATCTGTTTCTGGAATATGTATATATAAAATTTAGGATAGTAGATACTAGGTACTATATAAAAGAATAGTAATTAAACTTTTTAACTTCCCGTAGGGCAAGTTATAGTAATCGCAAAAAAATCGAAAATGAAAATTTTTATATATCTTTACGTTTCAGAGGTTTCTGAACATTTTGACATACCTTAGAAAAAATGGATGTATGTGTGTGTGTGTGTGTGTGTGTGTGTGTGTGTGTGTGTGTGTATGTATGTATGTATGTGTGTGTATGTATGTGCGGATACAAATTTTCGTCGACGATTTCGGGAACACGGATCAACCGATTTGAATAATTTAAAAAACATTCGATCCGTATTGATAAGGAGACGTGCTGATTAGTTTTTGGCAAAGGCAGGTCAAGCCGTTCCGAAGATACGGGGCAAAAAGTTCCGAAAACGGTAACTCAGTTTTTAAGAGAACGGAGCGTCCGATTTTAATAATTCAAAAAACATTTTATTTGTATTGACAAGATGAAGAATCGATACAACTTTCATAAAGGTAGGTCCAGTGGTTTCGGAGATATAGAGGAAAAAGTAAAAAAATGAGCCATTTGACGGTCAAAAATGATCATTAGACATATGCACATCAAATTATCAGACATTTTATAGAGATTTTAACAATAAGTATACATTTTGTTAACATTCCTATCGGTTCCGTACCAATGCTTAGGCGTTAGACAGCGACGCGGCGCTTACGCGCTTTATATTTTGTCCCTATGTAGTTAAAGCAGTACGATTGCTTTGAAAAAAAAGTTCAGATCTTCCACAATATGTCAAAATAAAGAAAAAAAAATTTTTTTTTCAAAAAAAAAAATTTTTTTTCAAAAAAAAATTTTTTAAAAAAAATTTTTTTTTTTCAAAAAAAACTAATTTTTTGTCCAATTTATAGTTTCTCAAAAATCTTATTTTTTCAAAGTAATTTTTTTTCAAAAATGTTAATCGTTTTAAAAAAAAATAATAATTTTTGGTACGGGAAGTTCCAGCAATTTGCCTTAAGGAACGATGCCCTAATTGCCTTAAGACAGAATTCCACTTACAGCTAGTTGTATTTTAAAATTTGCATATTTGTTATGGTAAAATTTAATATTTTTATTACATTTATAGAATATGCAAACTTTGTAGAACTAACATCATATATTTTCCTAAATTAAGCAAATATTTTTATAACTGATAACTGATAATATATATATATATATATATATATATATATATATATATAATATTATAATGATGATGTTGAATTATGCGTACCATAATATAGTACAATGTAGTCTCTAACATAAAAACTTTGTAATACAAATTTCATAATTAAGCAGGAATTCAGTTTGTATAATCCACAAATGCATGTATAATTTGAAAAATACGTCTTTATCCCAATCACACTTTTCGAATCACCTTAATGTTCATGTCAAACGTGCATAAAAAAGTTTTACTTCAAATAATTATATAGCGTTTCATTAACTCTCTGTTTCATTCTAGTCCTTTATCTTTATCTTTGCCAGTACTACCTCGTCGGGTGGTGCGGCCGATTGTGTCGCTTGTCCTCATGTCTCCATGTGCCCACGTCCCCATGTCCCCATGTCCCCATGTCCCCGCTTTGCATTTCGAACCTGGCAATGCGTCAGCCGTCGGGCCGGTCCGTCCATTCGATCTGTGTCGTGTGACACGTCGACGTAAATCCTTCGGAACAATGTGTCCGGCCAATATGACCACAGGCTGATGAGGCTCCCCAGTATGGGCGGAAACACAACGGGCGGCTGTCGCAAAGGCAGAAGCTAACTGTCGAAGCCCCAAACAATAGGGGCTATTGTTGAGCCAGGCAGGGTTGCGGGGACGAGCAATTCTTATTAGAGGCATAATTAGATTTCTTTTCGATTTTAGGCTTCAAATTCAGATTTCAATATTTTCTCGGGTGCGGACGGTTGTGAAACTCACCTTTTTTGCGTGATTTGATTTTATGACAAATTCATCGTATTTAAAGACAGTATTTCAGTATTTACACGTGGACAAATGTTCAAATTACATTTTAATTTATATTTCTTTCTCTAACTAGTAAATTAACAAAATTATTGCCGATCAAAAAAAGTGGCACAACGATACCCAGTCTTTCCTACTTACAGTTTCCTAATCTTAAGGGGCACAACTAGTGTGAAATTTTCAAAAAATCGAATTTTCAATTTTTCCATATTTTGAGTTAAAAAATAAAACTTTAAAAATAACATACCAAAATTTTAAATCGATATCTTAAATAGTTTTTGAGTCACAGCCATTTAAAGAATATATATAGTATATAGTATAACGATCATTTAATCTTTAAACGCGTTTTTCTCGAAACAGCGTTTTCCGAATTTGCTACAGCGATTACTCAAAAACAAATGATCCGATCACTATCAAATTTTTTTTACATGTTCTATATATAGTTCTCCGTAAAATGAACTATCGATTTTTTGATCGGATCAAAAATCGACTTTTGGCAGTCCAAAAACAACCAAAATTTTAGGTAAAATTCGTCTTTTTTTTTTAGAAAACGCCGTCATTTTGTCAATTTTTGATTTTTTTTCTTTATCGTAGTTCATTTTACAGACAATATTATCTAGTTTAACGAGAATTTTTTTTTGAAATTTCATCCACGTAGAAGGCCGGAATCACTGCAGCAGTGAAGGCCCTTTTGTTTGTCGCGCCGTTGGAGATCGACGAAAACTTAAAAAATATTTAATTTTTTTCTTCAAAAATTTTAGTATGTATTCTTAAAACATGTATAAATATATTCCTAAAATTTTTGATAAAGTAATTTTCTTAATATAAATTCCCAAAAATCACGTTTTTTAGGCGGTTAACTAGTTGTGCACCTTAATGTTAAAACCAGATAAATCGATAATCTATGTTATGAGGATGTGGAAATGCACTACACTATGTAATAGAAACATTAAACTTGTTGTAATTGGAACATAAAATCATCATAATAAAGTAAGTGTGAAATATAAATGAAGAGAGAATTTTTAAAAAACATATTTCTACCAGCATGTGTGGAACTAATTGTGAATTTTATTTACCGCAATATTGTATAATTTTGATACTAAATTTTTATCAAACTCGGAACCTTATTAGGCGCACAATGGTCATGTTATTTGGTCATCAGTTCGCCATGAATATGGAGCAGTAATTCCCGTCTGACATTTCTATAATCATCTTTACCACTATGATGAACGAGCGCGATGTTTATTCTTTTCCGAAATGATTGATGAATCCGATGCTGAATATAGAGACATGTTGATTATGCGGAAAATGTATACTGCGATGTATTTGCAAAAACGTAACATAGAGTAAGCAAAACGATGATTAACAGCTTTAGGATGATGAACAGCATTTAATAATTGAAAATTGAAAAACGTACTTGGTTGTGAAAATAACTAAAATTGAAGGTAACATATGAACCACAATATAGCCCATTACAAAATAGTCGAAGTTCTCTAGAAAATAAAAAACTTGAATCCCTGATGATGTTTAGAGATCTTCGAGTTCACCTTCGTCTTCTGTTGCCAAAATAAATACAGTAGTAACCTGACTTACGAGTGACCAGACATATGAGTGTTTTGAGATACGAGACGCCAAAG